CACACACACACACACACACACACACACACACACACACACACACACACACACACACACACACACACATATGGAGATAAGATTAAAGATTGGGATAGTCATTCTCCCACTGCCCCTCCTGCTGCTCCTCCCGCTCTTCCTCCTCCTCCTCCAGCTGCTTCTCCTGCTCGTCCCCTCTTCCTCCAAGTTCGGCGACTTGCCCCAGGCCTCTACGCCCTGGCAGGCCCTGCCGTTTTTGCCCCTGCGCTGTTTCGCGAGACGCCACCCTTTTCCCCCCCGGCGCGTTTTTGTCAATCTATGCGACACCGTACGCCCTGGCAGGCCCTGCCCTTTTTGCCCCTGCAACGTTTCGTGTCGGCGCACGCCGTGCCTGGCTGGGCCCGCCTGTGGGCAGTTTTCCTTGGGCCCATGACTGCGTGTGACGCCGGTTTTCGTGTCGGCTCACACCGTGCCTGGCTGGCCCCGCCCATCCCGCAGTTTTCCTTGGGCCCACGGCTGCGTGTGACGGACGGACCGTTGTATCTTTTAGTTGTATAGAGATTATTTTTTTTCTTTTTAACCCCCGTTTCTTCCTTTTTACATCTATTAATTTTATGACTGTTTCTCTATTAATTAGGAACGGGCTGATTTGGTAGATCCTGCGGTACCTGGTAGTTTAATGAAGAAAAGTCGGGACTTGGGAGAAAGGCAGAGTAGAATAGATCCTGGTCGCGGAAACCTGGTGGACCAGGGCACATACCCCCGGACACTCGGTTTGGTAGGGCCACAGTGGGGCTCTAGGAGAGTGTCTGTAGGACTGGACAAAGGGCCTCGTTCGACACCACTACAAAACCCTTACATGTAAGGTTTTCATCGTTCCACCCCTCCCTAATCACGAAGAAAAAGAAGTCAACTTGTTTTCACATTCGCGGCCGTAAGGGCGGGCCCTACAAAAGTAAGGACTCCCCAGCCAAAAAGGACCTTGATGTAAGACGCCCGTGGAGGTGACTTGAAAGTAGGGGGCGGCACCCTTACATCCGCAAAAAAACCAATTTTATTTTCTATTTTTTTAACGTCAGGTGTGTCTTTGGCATTCCTGGTCCAACGGCGGTGTTGTCAAGTAGACCGCAGGACAGCAGTCCCACGGCAACCTCCAACGGCCGTGCGGTTCCCCACCTGTGCCCTGGCAGTCCCTCCGGTTCACCGTTTCGGCTGGCGTTTGGAGGCGACCATTGCGGAGGTCGGTGTGGAGGTGGTTGAGATGGCCGTTGGCGGTCTTAGGTTCGAATTCGAACGCAGCTTGTACACGACGCCCCTCGGCACTGCCGCCCCTCTGCTGTCGTACTTTCCTGAGATCTTGTATATTGCAGTCCTCTGCCTTCCATGCTTTGTCCTGATAGAAAGTTGACTGCTCCGTTCCTTGTCCTTTGCTTGAGGAGAGCATGGCTGAAATGGCGAGGAAGACAGCTCCGTTTCCATGTGCTGACAGACTGCGAGGACGGCACTGCTGACCATTGTCTTCTCACGGGGTGACAGTCTTCTCATCGCCGCCTCATCCCTTTGCCGCCGTCCATAGCACGCCACACGGTAGTCAAGCAAAGCCACTTGTGGTGCCGCAACGGTAGAGTATTGGCGCATGCAACGTCGAAAATGCGCACGCAAGGACTCTAGAATGCAAGGTCTGCGAAGCAAACTGGTGGCGCAGAATTTGAATTCGAATGGTGAGGGTCGCGCGCGCGTTCTCCTCATCGGTGGATGACATCGCGCACCCATGTGACGGCCGTCGGCCGTGCCTGGCTTCGTGATGAGGCCAGACCGGGTGTCCCAGGGGCCCAAAGGTGGCGGACACAATTTTGTCCGACGCAACTGTGGGTCGGACAATCGGATTCCTCTTTTGGCCGCTTAGAACGCAAACGGAGGCACCTGAAACGTAAGTGCGCCTAAGTGTAGGGTTTTCGTAAGTGGTTGTGGAGTGAAAAATGAGGTAAGGGAAAATTAATCACTTTTTCGCTGTAAGGGCGCCCTTACAAAGTAAGGGTTTTGTAGTGGTGTCGAACAAGGCCCGAAGTCCTCTGGGCCGTGTTTTTTTTTTTTAGTCCCAGACAGTAGTAGTAAAGTAGGATGATTCTTCAGGTCAGTCAATAAGAGCAGCTTAACTTATGCAACCTTAAATTAGGATATTTCTTCTAGGTTCAAATAGTTTTGGAAAGTCAGCGATAGTGACCTTCTGCAGGCGGAAGGAAGCCTGTAAGCTATAAGCTGGCTGATGCTGTCAGTACTCCGGTTTGAATTGTGAGGCCCCCACCGGCCTCGATTGTGCTTCTTCTTCTTCTTCTTTTTTTCTTTTTTTTTTTGAAGATTGTGCATTTTTTTAACGAGTTAAGGTTTAAAGGAACCCCCCCCCCCCCCCCCCCCCCCTGCTCCTGAGGTCTGTATTTAACAGTTCAGGGGTGTACCAAGTGAGCTATAGGCCAATTGGTTGGGGCAGTGGCGGCTGTGACATGCAGAGTTGATGGCTTCCCCAGCCTTTCAGTTTTCACCTTGCAATCAATCCATTGGTTGGCGACCACAGTCGAGTTTCTTGTCTTGGATGATAGGCTATCGCCCATCTATCTATACATTCGGGTATTCAGGCTACCGTATTGAATTTCCCGCAAATAGAACGTCCGGTCATTATAGTTGTACTTGGGGTAACTTTCAGACCAGATGCAGTGATAATGACGTGGGGTTTTATTCATGTATTCAGGTTAGCAGTCGCTAATGGACTATAGGCTATCAGCCTGTCACGTTTTCTTTTACTGTGCTGATTTGCTTTTGGGGAAATAGATAGATATCTAACAAAAAAAGCAACCAGCAGCTCACAGACAGAGGGATCACTGATTGATTCTGACGGAACGAGTGAAGGGGAGCTTTGACAAGAAGATGACTTCAGACTCTTCAGAGCTGAAATGACATTATGATGATTATGGGTACTCCACAACAGCACAGCAGCATTACTCCACAACAGCAGCGGCATTACTCCACACTGTCCACAGCTGCAGCATATTGTTGTCGTACCTGGCGAATCGCGTTCAGCTCCACATTCAGCACAACACTGAATTCCGACTCGCTCACACCATCCCTGCAAGGTAGCACCAATTATGTTTTTTTTCACCCCGAAAAGAATCAGAACTGGAATTGCACACGTTGTGTGCCTGGCAGTGCACATAGATAAATAATAATACTAGGGCATCATACCTGTGGCATGGTCAGGATAATCCTCCCATTTTGTGTCAAATAGACCAGTGGTACCTGAGGACTTCTATGTGTTTTTCGACAACCATGGATGGTGGCACCGATTATGTTTTCTTTCACCCCGAAAAGAATCAGAACTGGAATTGCACACCTTGTGCCTTGCAGTGCACATAGATAAATAATAATACTAGGGCATCATACCTGTGGTATGGTCAGGATAATCCTCCCATTTTGTGTCAAATCGCCCAGTGGTACGAGATGACTTTTCTTGAATCAGATGTGTTTTTCGACAACCATCACAGCCAGGGCTCAGAGGCCAGTCCAACATGTCCTACCCTCTTCACCCGAATAGAACGCCCGGTCGTTATCGCTGCATCTGGACCGAAAGTTGTGCCAAAAAAATGCAGCTATAATGACCGGGCGTTCTATTTGGGTGAAGGCGGTAGTGATGAGTCTGGCCTAAAATCAAGGTGGTCTGGTTGTTGTTGGGGGAACTTCAAGTTGTACTATATATCTGTAGTCTATATCGCTGGCATAAAAATCACACATTGTTGCAACCAGGTGCAAGCTGGAATCCAGGCGGGCGCTTAACGCACGCGAGTGCACAATCTCTCCGGGTGCTAGGCGACGCCACGTCACGGGCTGACGTGGAAGGAACGCCTGACACGTGGCAATACGGGACATGTTAGCTCTCGGACTGTCGCGGTGTTCCGCTTAAGCATTTCCACAGTCGCTATTCCAATAGTAGAGGGATAGACTTATGACTCTTGTGACTGTGACGGCATGTGCTCGCCATAGTCAGTGGACTTCGGCGGAGTTAACCCAGGGAACGTGTCGAAGTGTGGGTATTGGCTTTTCTTTCGTCAACAACACTGTAAATCGAGCCGACTACAAGACGACGCTGACGTGGAACGGCGATCGGCTCTGCTACGTCAGCGCCGACAGCGCAACGAGGTTGCGGTGGGGAGGCGGGAACCGACCGTGAAGGGTGTCGACGGTCCGACGAGGAGTGAGGATGAGGAGACGGTCAGTCAAAGGAGGATGGATGACGTGATCTTCGGGCAGAGGCGGGAAGAAAAGAAACAGTGAACACGAGTCGATGGGTGGGCAGTGGAGGATGTCGCATCGCTAACGAAGGAAGACAGGGCAATCGAGGAAATCATCCATAACTAGAAAAGGTGAAGGAGGGGGGAGGAAACCGGGGGAGTTGAACGCGGTTACATCGTGGCCACTGGTGGTGATCAGCTCGGGATTCACAAGAAACACAAGCGGGTAGACACCGCGGGATTCCTCTTGGGGCCCCGGGAGCAATCTCCCAGTGGAGGGATTCGGCGGGTCCCTGACTTAGGAAACGCATCAACTGGTATCGGCAGCTCAACATCATATCAACGAATACAACGCAGAGGACACGCGTCATCATCAACAAGGCGGTACTTCAATATTGGCGACAAGAAGGTAAGCATATTCTCGCATGACAGATTTCGCCTTGTTTGTGGGAAAAGGGTCTGTCTACTAGGACCTGCAAAAGTTAAACACGGGATCCGCGCACGCAGGGCGAAAGGGAGGGAGGCAGAGTACAAGGAGGTGAGAATGGACTCTGTGGGGGGGGCGAAAGTAGATGAATACAGATAAACGTGCACCCTCTTCTCGATCCTCGGTGATCGCATGCCCATCCGTTCTTTCTCATATGGGATCAACCTTCGAATTTCCACTGTTGATCTAAATGGACCATCCCAGCGCATGAATTCTGAGAAGTCCCGTGAAGATCCAAGCGCACACTAACCCGGTGAGAGAGAGAGAGAGAGAGAGAGAGAGAGAGAGAGAGAGAGAGAGAGAGA